TCTTGAACCTGGGAGGCAGAGGTTGTAGTGAGCAGATATCGCACCATTGCACTCCAGCCTGGGCGACAGAGTGAGACTACATCTCCAAAAAGAGAGAAAGAAAGAAAGAAATTGCCAATTGGCTGGGCGAGGTGGCTCATGCCTATAATCCCAGCACTTTGGGAGGCCGAGGCAGGCAGATCACGAGGTCAAGAGATTGAGACAATCCTGGCCAACATGGTGAAAGCCCATCTCTAATAAAAATACAAAAATTAGCTGGGTGTGGTGGCACGTGCCTGTAGTCCCAGCTACTCCAGAGGCTGAGGCAGGAGAATTGCTTGAACCCAAGAGATGGAGGTTGCATTGAGCCAAGATCGTGCCACTGCACTCTAGCCTGGCAACAGAGCAATACTCCATCTTAAAGAAAAGAAATTGCCAATAGTTTTCCAAAGTGTCTTCACCATGCTGAGTGTTTTTTTCTTAGCACCTTTCTAGTGTTTCTCTTCTTTACCTCTTCGCCTCCCTTCATCCCTTAAAAAGTCCCTGTCCCTTACAATGTTTCTCAGTCTTTAACCAAAAACAAGACCAGAGTCTGCGTGTTGAGGAAGAAGAGCAGGTCTAAGGGAGGAGGCTGGGGAAACCCACAGGATTGGGAAGAGGGTGGGGCACAGGGCTGCCCAAGAAAGATCCTTCCAGAAGGATTCTGAGACCTCTCATTTGTTATTCTTCTGTGACTACAGTGATGCCAGTAACTTCAAGTTGCTTGAGATGAAACTTAATTTCTACCCAATTAAGTTTGATCCTCAGAATAATTCTGTAAAGTGCATGCACCATCACTATCGCCATTTTATAGATGCTGCAATTCAAAAAGTATGTGTGAGGTACCCAGGGTCAGCCACTAGAGAGGAACAGAACCTTGATGGGGCCTTAAGCTTCCCGACCATTGCCCCAGGGCTTTATCTGCTAAGAATGGTAATAGTCACCATGTATTGATTGCTGGCGTTGAAGCTTGGGCCTTCTCGTTTGCTCGTAACCAGTGGCCCCAGTCCCCATGGTTTAGGTGAGTCACTGAGGTGACTTGCCCTGGGTTGCAGAGCCAGGAGCTGGCTGGACAGGAATGGGCCCAGAGACCCTGACTGCAGGTCCTGTGTTCATTGCCTTTCTCCATGCAGGAGAAACGAATGTTCCTTTTGTAACCACAGAGAGGAAAGAAGGTGGCAAGCCTTCCTCCTCGGGCAGGTGCTTGCTGGACTAGGCTGGTGGGCTGAGGGTGTGAATGTGAAGAAGAAAAGCCACGCAACAGAGCATAGGCACAATTGTGGAAATGAATTGTCTAAGACTGGGTAAGTAGGAGAGGGGATCTCCTGGCAGAGACGGTGCCAAGGGGAATATCAAGGTGATTAACAACCTCCCCAAGCGAAACCAGGCCAGGGCGAAGCTGCTGGGGGTTCATGCCCGCTGCGCTTCCCATCCACGGTGCTCCTGTGGCTCACCTATGTGAGTTTCGTGAGTTTTGACAACACGTACAGTAGTACAGCCACTGCCATATTCGAGGTGAACAGCAAGGGACTCCTTTAAGGCACAGTAAACCCAGCTAGTTTCACCCAGTCAAAAGCCCGCCTATGGTCAAACCCCGTCCTAGCCCCAAAACACAAAACTAAAAACAATGCAAAGAGAAGAACAACCTACCCGGTTATTTTTCAGTTCAGTTCCAGAAGCCATGTATCCTCTCTGCACCCCCGTGTTTAATCCACCACCTGGTCCTGTTGGATTTTGCCGCTGTAGTTCTCTTAAATCATCGTATTCCCTCCAACCCATCACTGTCCACACCCTGGTCCCAGATGCTTCCTCTCAAGCCTAAACCATGCAACGGGCTTCTGACTCGCCCTCCATGTTCTCACTTGTCTTCTATTTAATGTGGTCTCCACACTGCAGCCAGCCAGAAAGATCTTCTGGGCCAGGTGTGGTGACTCACGCCTGTAATCCCAGCATTTTGGGAGGCCAAGGTGGGTGGATTACCTGAGGTCAAGAGTTCAAGACCAGCCTGGCCAACGTGGTAAAACCCTGTCTCTACAAAAATATTTAAAAATTAGCATAATGGTGGGTGCCTGTACTCCAAGCTACCCAGGAGGCTGAGGCAGGAGAATCGCTTGAACCCAGGAGGCAGAGGTTGCAGTGAGCCAAGATCGCACCACTGTACTCCAACCTGGGTGACAGAGTGAGACTTTGTCTCAAAAACAAAAGAAAAATTGCTGAGGCTGGGCTGGGCATGGTAGCTCACACCTGTGATCCCCGTTCTTTGGGAGGCTAAGGCAGGAGGGTCACTTGACCTAGGAGTTTGAGACCAGCCTGGGCAGCATAGGGCAACCCCATCTTTACAAAAAATTTTAAAATTAGCAGGATATGGTGGCACACGCCTGTAGCCCCAGCTACTGAGAAGGCTGAGGCGGGAGGATTGCTTGAGCCTGGGAGGTTAAGCTGCAGTGAGCCATGCTTGTGCCACTGCATTCCAGCCTGGGTGACAGAGCAAGAAAAAAAAAGAAAACAGGCCAAAAAACCAAGTCTGGTCATGCCAACACCCCTCTCTGATTAAAACCCTTCAGTGGCACCCCACTGTCCACGTGGTGGCCAGTCTTTAACCAGATCCACCCAACCTTCATCCTGGTTCCCCACACCCTGGTCTGCCTCCAGGCCCCTCCTTTCCACCATGAGAACCATTTGGAATGAGTGCCCCCCACCCCACACCAGGCCCAGAGTGACTCTGGCTGTCTGAGGTCTCAGGTGAGCCTTTGCCACCTGCTGGACCAGGTCCCGCCAGCCGTGCTCTTACGACTCTGTGTGGCGCCGTCTCCCGCTTGCAAAGTTCTTGTCACCAGTTTATAGAGATTTGTGTGTTGATATGATTCGTGTCTGTTTCCTTCACTGGACTTCCAAGATGTGCCAGGACCACATCCATTTTTGTTCATTCCATATTTCTCGGTCAATAATTGAATATTATTCATGTTTGCCCTATTGGCAAGGTGGCCTGGCCAACAAGATTTTATCAATAATTTCTTTATATCTTGAGATAGATCATACTGGCCCTCAGTGTTTAAAGTTTTGGTTTTCATGCATAGATTTAGTGTGTCTGTCAGATTAATAAAACGCTCTTTCAGTGGAATATTGTCTTTTGCCTTTAGAGTGGTCTTTTCATTTGTCTCACTTGAGAGCTGAATCTCCAAAATTGCACAGGCTAAAAAATCTTAGAAACGATCAGACCTGTATATTTTTTGTTTCATTGTGTGCCTGTAGCATTGCACATCAATGATGCTCAATACATTTGTAGATTTGTTTATTATATATTATTTTCATTTGAAAAGCATGTAACCACAGCATACAGTTTAGGGAGGAAAGGGAGAAAGTCATCTATCACATTACTGCTCAACCTCTGTTGTAATTTTGGTATATTTACCCTTTGGCATTTTCATTTGCATTATTATTTTTAATTTATTTATTTTTTAAGATGGAGTCTTGTTCTGTCACCCAGGCTGGAGTGCAGTGGCATGATCTTGGCTCACTGCAACCTCTGCCTCCCAGGTTCAAGCAGTTCTGCCTCAGCCTCCCGAGTGGCTGGGATTACAAGCATGTGCCACAAGGCCCAGCTAGTTTTTGTATTTTTAGTAGAGATGGGGTTTCACCATGTTGGCCAGGCTGGTCTCAAGCTTCTGACCTCAAGTGATCCACCCACCTCAGCCTCCCAAAGTTCTGAGATTACAGGCATGAGCCACCATGCCCGGTCTTTTATATGCATTTTCAACATTGCCGCAACCACAGTGTACATAAAATTGTGTGTCCTGTTTTTTCCCTTTAAATAACCTTATTGATGGGTCAAATTGTTATATTGTATATGGTGTGATATTTATTCAGTTCGACTCAATAAGCATTCATGAAGAATATACCACTCTATGTGCCTGATGCCATTCAAAAAACATATACAGTGCCTTGGCTCTCCAATAATAGAATACCATAATTATGAAGCATGCAGTGACATTTTTATTTCATGGATGTGTCTTGTGGCATCTCCTCTCCCAGAAGCAGGAGCAGTGGTGTGGGGGAGGGACTGCTCCTTCTGGGGTCAGGGGAGACCTCTCTTAATGGTGACATTTGAGCAGGGACCTGAATGCAGAGAGTGGGGAGCTGTGCAGCTGTGGGGGAAGATTCTTCCTGCAGAGGGATCCTCAGGTGCCAAAGCCCTGAGGTGAGAGTGTGCCTGGTGTTTCCAAGGGATTGCAAAAGGACAGTGACACCAGGGCATCGTGGGGGAGGGGAGAGGGGCTGAGGCCAGTTGAGCTTTTGGGAGGCCTACAGGGTCTCCCTGGCCCTGGTGGGACACCTAGCTTTTCCTCCTAGTGGGATGAGATAGTGGCATCGTGACAGGATTGCCTCGCTGTCTAGGTTTCTCTGTTCCTCTGTGGGGCCCTTCAGTTCCTGCCTTTGTCACCCTTCAGATGAGTGACCTCTTGCCAGGCCTGTAAACTCCCCCAGACACATGCATGATAATACACTGTGTGTGTTGCTTACACGTAAATGTGCAGGTGGGTGGTTGGCCACACCTGGCGGTGTCACAGACTGATTTGGTTATCGATGTTCCAGGAAACTGGGCACATTCTACATATTTGAAAACCCATGCAACTGTATTTCTCATTTCTTAATCTTTTGCTCATTTGAGACCGTTGTTCCTCTCTGAAAATAATGACCAAATATGTTTTTCCAATTGCATAAAAACGTAACCTAGTAAGGATGACTATTTGTGATTATTAAGCATGCTTCAACTCCTGAAATTCTAGAAAGCAGGTTTTTCTGTTGATTTTGGTTGGGGGTGGTTATCCTCATTATAAGCTTTCTTGAATTGTGTTATGGTCAGGCCCGTCACATGCCAAAGTTAGATCCCATTAGCAGGCTTAAAACATTTATTTCTGAAAGAACGAACTGTTACAGGTTGCTGAGTATAATTGATTTCTTTTGTTTCCTTTCTGCTACAGGAGGAGACATCACAGCTTTCCCAGATTGGGAGGAAAAATATGGAATGTGTTTTACTGCTGACTGAACACAACCAAATGAACTGTCCTGACAGTAGTTTGAAAACCAGCAGCTAGCAGTTCGTCCAGCCTCTAACACTGTCCAGCACTTTCCAGCGCAAACTCACTGTTTACAGGAACTCTTGGCCTTACGAAGTTTATAACCTCAAGCTTTGTTTATTTAAAATCTTCCTGCAAAAGAAAAGTACCTGGCACCCGCTTTCCAAAATGGCCATGGATGAGTATTTGTGGATGGTCATTCTGGGCTTCATCATAGCTTTCGTCTTGGCCTTTTCTGTTGGTGCAAACGATGTTGCCAACTCCTTTGGTACAGCCGTGGGCTCTGGTGTGGTGACCTTGAGGCAGGCGTGCATTTTAGCTTCAATATTTGAAACTACCGGCTCCGTGTTACTAGGAGCCAAAGTAGGAGAAACGATTCGCAAAGGTATCATTGACGTGAACCTGTACAACGAGACGGTGGAGACGCTCATGGCTGGGGAAGTGAGTGCCATGGTTGGTGAGTAGCCTCTCGTCTACACCGATGGGACATCTGCCCGCTGACCCGCTTCCCTACAGTACTTTGCCCATATCCATAAATGTGATTTTTCCTTTGGCTTTTCAAAAACGGGTTGGATGTTTCATATGTACTCTCTTATTTTTGCTTTCTGCATACTAATTTATGATTTTGAAAGCTTTAAAGTGTTTAAATATCAGGCAACCATTTATTTTCTCAACTTTTTAGCAAACTTGGTTGGTAAAATAGATTTCAGCTAAGTCAACACTTTTCAGAAAGTATAAAATAGATCTTTGTAGAATAGCGCTTTATTATTTTAGAGTTGTTCCAAGGTTGAGTGAATGTGTTTTCAAGGTCGACGTATGAAAGTCCCAGGAAGGTTGATTTACATTTTTTTCTTAAAGTTTTTCATCAATTAGGAGGCAATGTTTTGAAAACTTGGACGTCAAAATTAATATTTATTTATCTAACTTTTATATTCTCAGTTTAAGTTCTAAAGAAGTTACCAAATAAATCTTAAGTGCTTGTGTTTCAAGAAATTCTGGTCTTTTATATTTTTTGTCATCCTTTCGTTGGCTTTTGTTTTGATTTTCTGATTCTACCTCTGGGAACTCCATTTGGTATGTTTGTTTTGTCTTCCGCCCAAAAAAATAATATACGTGTTGCCTGTGATAGCATGACTTTTATTGCGGTTTTAAGTTGTCTAGATGAAGTGTGGAGATGCGTGAACTGTGTGAATAATCAGAGTGGCTGGCTGGTCAGAGTGATTTCCCCATGGCCTAGGTAGACACAGATCCCGGCCCCGTAGGTCCTCCCGTCACCGCGCTCACCACTACAGAAAAGAACCTTCTGGGCAGGCGTGCGTTAAGTGCAGCTGACAGGATTCTTTCTCTGCTTGCCTCTAGGTAGAGATGACGGCACAACAGACAGCTGATGTGTACGGGTAATTTGGTTAGGGAGAAGAGGGTTAGAGAGGAATTCTACCACCTTCTGCTTTCCACAGGACATATCCTCTTGTAGGAAGAGTCCTGCAGCAGGAGGTAAGATGCTGGTGTACTGAGAATACAGCCACATTCCACGACCCCCGACTTCTTTATTTTGTAACCTGCGTTTCTTTTCTTTTTTCCTTTTTTTTTTTTTTTTTTTTTTTTTTTTTTTT